AAATTTGATTAGCGGTGATTACTTCAACCGTTCTAAAGCGGTCTACTAGTATAATTTGTAAGCATCTGATAAAAATGAATAAAATAAAATATACTTCATTATTTTCTTTTCGTTTAAAATTTATTTATTTGCTCCATAATTTGATGTATTTAAAATAAATTCCCTACACGGACACAATAATCACGGAAGGACACGAGCAGACTCCTTACTTTCTTACGGCAAACATCATTAAATTTATATGTGAGAAAAATTAAACTTTCTAGGAAAGAAAAAATGACGGGAATAAACGTTACACCTTTTCTTTCATATAGGGCCGTTCTTTTAATAATAAATCTTTCCATAGTTTTCTGTTGTGTCTATAACTCATGAAATATAAAATTTATCTATCCATTTTTAGATCTTAAATTGTATGAAAGTTTATTCTTAATAATGTTTTAATTATATGATTGAGATTATTTAGTTTATATTTAGTCTTTTTTATTTATAAGTATTAATAATCAAAATCAACAATCTTCACAACAACCAAGATCAAAAAAGATTTAAATATATTATTGTGGGATGATAATGATTAGTTAAAATTATTAATTATCTTATTGTATTATTCATCTTATTTATCTCAATATTCTAATATTTGAATATTTTCATATTATGTGAGATAAAGTAATTATTTGAAAGTTTATTTTATGTTGTTGTAAAAGAATAAATGTCAACTGAATTTTAAAAATGAGAGTTCATTCAAGTTTTTGTCATAGATGAAATGTATTTAATGATAATCTTGGTTTAAATATTTTAAATTTTATTTATTTCAGTTGCACTTTTATATATTTTTAATTATCATTTCAAAATTTCTTCTTTGAACATTTTATATATTCTGTATAGTTCACTTTGTACATAGTTAATTTCTCATTTCGCACGTCAATCTTTCAAAAAGGTTAATAATACAAAATTACCAATAACTATAATATCAAACTATATAAACAATCTAGGCTTTATCATTTGTAATTCTGCTAAAAGTTTATTTATATTTAACTGTCCTTTGGCAATTGACTCTATTGACACATAAGGTAGATTATTTAAGACAGTCGGAAACGCACGTGCTTTTATCAATTTATCAAAGTTCCCTTTTCTTATTTCATATTCTACTATTGGTTTTTCAAAGTTTTAGTTTTCCATTTTAGTTTTTCCAATTCCCACTATTTGAAATTTCTTTATATTATTATTATAGTTTTAGTTCTTTTGCTAGCTCTTCTTCTATATACGATTTTTGGCTGCAGTAACTGGTATTATAATAATGTAACTGGTATTAATGGGTTGAACCAAAAAATTTGAGCCCTCTTTTTGGGCTAGATTTGGAATTGTACGCTGGGAATTAATTCCTAGGGGTACTGAACTTAATGGAGATGCTCTATCGTACAATCCTGTACCGCGTTCAAGTTGTCATTGATGGTTTCACAGTTCAGGGACGACATCAAGTCCAGTTTGTTTTTCCATCAGGACAACGCGCCTTCACACCGTGCAAATGCAACACGTGCCCACATTTATGAAACACTCGGATGGGAAATTCTATTACACCGCCTTACTCACCGGACATTGCGCCATCTGATTATCACTTATTCCGGTCTATGAAAAATCATTTACGTGAAGTTCGGTTTCAAAATCATATGCAAATCAAAAACTGGGTAATTGATTTTCGAGAGGCAAAATCAGCTACAACTTTTTTTCAGAGAGGAATTCAAAAGCTGCCCAGAAAATGGCAAAAAGTAATTGATAATATTGGGCAATACATCGTTTCTTGATTGTTTTTTGTTTTTTTGTTATAGTGAATTATTTGCATTATCCATAAAGGGCTCATTCTTTTTGGGTCAACCCATTACTTTAAGCAGTGAAGTGATTTTGTTTACATCTAGTCCAATAAATTTATTTAATTTATACTGTTAAAACATTTAAAGCTACATTCATTTTTCATAATATAAGTTGTTTTATTTCATTTAAATATCCATTTCTTTTATTCGCAATTTATTTTTATTTCAGAAAATCATTTAATAATTTTATTGGATATTGTATTATTTCTCTACAAAAAATCTGATTCATACTCATATTTTTCTACATTATTGGAATATCTTATTGAAATAATGCTTTTATTTGTTGTAGGCTAGAGTTATTTATCCATTCTTGAATCCAAGCATCTGCAGCCCCGTATTGGTCTTCTTCTTCTAATGGAATAAAATCAAAAGCCGATTTTTTTTGAGTTTATTTATTTTAGTAAATTATGAATTTTTATTCATTATTTGTCCTTTTTATTAGAAGAAGTGTCAGCGAAATACCGTGCAATACATAAAAAGCTTTCGAATTCAAATCTATTTAATAAATAAGATAAAGTTTTAAATAAATTCAAATTAATTTGGATGAAAGCTTAATATTTAACAATGCTAAAATAATATTAAAACATATTTCTTAAATTTATCTTTATAAATAACACAAAAATTTATAGGATTTTAAGATTATTACACAGATTATTGCGCATTATTTTAAAAATTAATTTCAATAGTTTTAACATTAACACGAAATAAATTTAAAGCAACAGTATCAAATTTTTTACAATCCCTTGAGATTTAAACCCATTTTTTAATATTTTTGCATATAAATGCTAAATTTTAGCACGTAAATAACTTACGAAATAGTAAAAATTTTAAAAGAAAATTTAAATAGATTAAAATGATTTAGGTAAAAAACTAGATTATAATGATATTTTAATAAGACTGTAAAGTATTTTCTTTTATACCTATATATTTGTTTTATATATTTTTATTTTAAGAAATCCATTTGAAATTTTCTTATTTTATTGCTTTTTTAGAGACCTATTTTCTTTCAACATCAGCACACATAATATTTTAATATTTAAATATTAATTTCAATATAAATTTTGAATTTTTTAATATTAATTCCTAGTGTATTTACAACTATATTTTTATTAAATTTAACATAAGATAATTTATATTTATTGCATTTTTGGGACAATATTTTTATTATACTTTTTAAAAATTATAAAAAAATTTTAATTGAATTTGATTTAAATATATGGAATAATATTAAATGTTAACGAAAAATATCTTATTAAATCGATGACACGTAAAATTCTTAGCGTTTATTATGTTCTAAACTTGCATTAATCCTTTTATTTAATCAGTTTATAATTTTAAAACATTAGTAAATATAGTAAGCTACAAACACATTAGATCATAAGGTGCACAATCTTCTCAACAAGATAAGCAGTAATATGGGTCGGTGTAGTAAAAATAAAATTTATAAATAGCTCTAAATCTATTATCTTTAATTTAATAATTCAATAACCTATTAATTAAATATTTATAAATTCTTTTAGAATACAAAAATAAATATGTACAAGCAAAATATAATGAAAAGGATCAAAGCGGCGTGTGGTGCGTTAATATGTAATTTTTATTAATTTGTTTAATTTAATTTTTATTAATTTTTATGATTTTATTAATTATCAGATATTCTTAAAATATTTTCAAAACATAATAATGGAAAATAATAGCTTTCCCCAGATTGCCATGCTTGATATTTGAAGGTGGCATTCGGGAGCCATCACGAAAAAGCAGGAAAAATTCAAGAATTGTGGATTTCCATTGTTGGCATAGAGGTCAAAATTACCTTCAAATTTAAATATTCAAATCTTACTAACTGATCAACAATAAAGCATCTTTTGTTTCAGCTCCTTCATTAAAACTAGACTTGTCTTGTTATATATTTATATTTAAATATTAAAATTTTAGATAATCATCATTAATTGTTATGAATAATTTATCAATTTAATAAATTAATTTAAAATATTTTTATAACATGTTTTTTAGTTGATTGTAGGCATATTCATAATTAGGGCTCGGATTTATATTGAAATAAAATCGCAAAATATGGCCATAAAATATTGAAATAAAATGGCAAAATATTGACAAATTTCCCTAAAAATTACAAAATATTGAAATAAATAATTTTTTATCCACCAATAAAATCGTTAAAATTAAGCAATATATCTAAAAAAATCTGTGCTTACAGTTACATATCAAGTACATTTCTAAGTTTTCTGGTGTAAAACATGTTCTGTTATCGGTAAAAATATTCTTATATATCGAAAATGAGCGCTCAACATCGCAGGATTGCAATGGTGCAAAATCATTGATGAAAGCATGTCAGGTGCCATCTCAATAGCCGCGGCTTCACCGTTCAATACTTTAGCGACATCGACAAGTTTTGCAATACCATGATTTTTTTCAATTACACGGGCAACTTCGTCAAAACATCCTCTGATTTCCTCTGCCACTCTGTGAAGAGCATGGCATACACAGGTGACATGAATGCAATTTCTACTTGCGTCTAATCTTTCAGCAATTAAATTTGCCACGTAACGGCCACGGCTGTCTGTGGTTTCATCAACAGAGCACCATACGTATCCTTGTCCAATGTTTTGTTTAATTCGGGAAATAGTCTTAAAAAAATTTGTAATTCCTTAAGAGTATACCATGCTTACCCTTTCATAGCAAACCTTTAGGTAATTTTTGCGAAGCGTAGATTCATCGGGAATGTCTTTTCGGCAATATTTTGAAAGAAAATTTTTGAGAGATAAATTGTTGATTTTGTAAAAAGGAATGTTGGCCGCCACAAATGCATCACACAATTCTTCGACAGACGGATCAGCATTATTCTTTTTTGCAAATGCCTCGGTCAAAAATTTCTGCTTGCTTGTTTCCGGTCGATCAGCATTACTTTTATGTTTTTCAGTTTTATCGTGTTGTTTTAATTGAGCATATTGCGAACAGGAGATCTAAAATAAACAAATACATTGATATTAAATAATTAAAATATTGCCTGACTATTACACTGTTGACAGAAGATAACTTTTCCATAAGTTGTATAAGTTCCCTCTGGAAATTTTGAAATCCATTCTCGTAGCCATGAAGAATGTGATTTTTTTATATTTGACATCGGACCTAGGCAGCGATTTAAAAAAGAGAAAATTAACGAAAAAATATGGAAAAAATAGAATTAGAGAAAAAAAAATCGAAAAGATAAATAAAAATAGAAAATTAGAGAAAAAATTGAAAAGATAATGAAAAAAAGAGAAAATAGAGAAAAAAATGGTGAAATATTGAAATAATTTGCAAAATGTGCAAATTATTGAAATGGCTCCCTCACAAAAGAGTCAAACCACAAAAGAGTCAACCCACAAAAGAGTCAAAAGGCTAAAAACCCGATAAAGAGTCAAACCACAAAAGAGTCAACCCACAAAAGAGTCAAAAGTCTAAAAACCCACAAAAGAGTCAAAAGGCTAAAAACCCACAAAAGAGTCAAAAGGCAAAAAAAAAACCACAAAAGAGTCAAAAATCTAAAAACCCAAAAAGACAAAAATCTAATAAGAAAACGGTTCTAGAGTGGTTTTGACATGATAAGAAAAAAAAATATAATGAAAAAATAAAATTTTATTGAAAAAACACCGAATCGATAAAAGAAAATAAATCAATACAATCACCGAATAATAATATAAAAATCACCAAGTTAAAAAATAGAAAGCTTATTAAATAATCAATGAAAGTGAACTAGTATCTTGACCAGTAAATTCGTTTTCATGATCAACTACATCTTCCGAATCACGTTCTTCTGGACGAGCTGTAGTGCGTTAACCATCAACATATCCACTCATCTGTAAACCAAGCAGAGTTAGGACGCTTAAAAGCTGTTCATCATCATCATATTCTGCCTCATTAAGTGTTCCCATTACTTGAGCTTCTTTAATGACATATTTTTGTTTGCGCTGATGTGTAAATATTGTTGAAGAACGAGCAATATCCACTTGTTTGTCGACATCCTCCATGAAGGCAAGAAGGAAATCACTCATGGAGGGGTGGTAGTTCAGCTTCTTCTGAAAATTTATAACTTAAAATTTAACACTTAAAAATAAGCACCGCAAAATGGTAATGACTAGATTCTAATGCATTATTAGTTTTTGCCATTGCGCGTAATGCCCTCTCGTTAACATTCCAGAAGGATACGGGTATTGCGGACTGCGAACTAGTTGTAGCTCCCAACGTGGAATAGGTATGGTGTTCATAGATGGTGTTGAGTGTTGAAATGATTGGCCAGAAAAAACAGGGGTAGAATTCATAATTGGATGAAATGAATGATCAAACAACGCTGAATTTATAGGGATTACATTTAGTTTAATAAACAAAAAACCTGAAAATTATAACTATTTTCATTAACTTCTTGTATTGAATGTATTTGGACCCCTCTTTGAAAAACTTCTGATCCCAATTGCAGTTCAATTTGAGTAAGACCCACATACGTTGACGCAAAATATGCGAGAAATGTTGACAGAACGGCCGGTGAAGAATTGACCACCAAACCAAGTCCTCGTCTTACATGCAGCGGCGGAATTAGAGCTAATGCAAGGATTCGCCTTAAATTTATTTTTAATGGAACAATAAAAAAAAAACCTGAAACATGTTCTGGCAATTTCTCCTTCCTCGTTTCTATCACCAAAAAGCCTGTTTAAGCCTAAGTCCCTCCACTTTCGAGATAACGATTGCCCTAGATGAAATAAACAACCAGATAGTTGTGCTGTTGGAAACGTTGATTGAAGTGCAGCAATTTCAGACTTTTCAAAATCAGATATAACTAAAAATGATAAAATGTACAATAAATTATTAATAAACAAATTACTCTTTTTCGGCTCATTTGGAATAATTTCACGCTTTATAACTCTCAATACTTCTTCATATTGAACAGTCCTTTTGCTGGTAAGTAACGCTTGCACACAGACGACAATTCTCTTATGAACAAAGGCACCAATACAAAAGCATTGCACGAATGGGCGGGGGGCCGATTTGAAGGTACCATCCAGCGCCCACTGTTTATTTTCGCCCAGTATTTTCAGTAACTAAATTTTGACCTACTCTTAATCTTTAAAAATTAAAAATACCCTTGGATGACTAAATATTAACACAACATCGCTTCCTCTACGTTTTGCTCTGCTGTCATAAATTAAAGTAGATGAGCCTTATTTTTGTGTGAGTGAGTCAGGGATTATCATTCTGCCTAAATCGGCGCAGTTAACATTCCCATACAATTTATTCTTCTGCCTAAGTTTGTAAATTTAAGAAAATTAATTTTTGAAAGCAGTACCTCCTTAAAAATTCTTCCAAAGCATGATCACTTCCTAACGACATATAAACCTCATCGGAAACATTTGCTCTAACTTCTGATAAAATTGGACGCTTGTTTGGCCGCTTGTCATGTTTTAATTTGTTGCGAATTTCTTGGGAAATTTTTTTTTGAATTGATGGGAGATGATTATACTCATTAGTTCCAAGTGTTCCAACAAATAGACCAGTTTCATTCTGTGTTGCTTTTGCTCTTGCTGAACAGTCTTTAGTCGAGCAACGCCAATATTCACCATTTTTGCCATGTTTTATATATCGATAACCTTAAATATTTCAACAATAATTACAATAACTAAATTAAACCTGCATTCCAAATGGCAACTTCCCCCTTGTTGGTTATCCCTTGTTCAAATTTAATAAGCTCTTTTCCTGAATTTTTTCCATTTTCAGTATCAATCTCAGAGGTAGTACAATAAGGCTCAGATTGTTGCTGTTCTTGATTAAATTTTGAAGATTCATCGATTGGAATTCGCCGTTTTCTAGATTTTTGTAACTCAGTGAGTTTAAGCCTGATTTTCATCTGAAAAATAAAATTTTACAAAGACTTGAAAATGGAAAACAATTTTAAATAGAAGAAAAACAAGTTAAAAAAAATAAAAACTTTTTTGACTCTTTTGTGGGTTTTTAGTCTTTTGACTCTTTTGTGGGTTTTTAGTCTTTTGACTCTTTTGTGGGTTGACTCTTTTGTGGTTTGACTCTTTTGTGGGTTTTTTTGCCTTTTGACTCTTTTGTGGGTTTTTTAGCCTTTGACTCTTTTGTGGGTTTTTAGCCTTTTGACTCTTTTGTGGGTTGACTCTTTTGTGCGGACACGATTGAAATAACTGGAAAATTGTCAAAATATTGAAATATATTGAAATGTAACTTCGTTCAAAATCAAAATATCTAAAAACTAATAGCATATTTGGGCTTCTCTCGCCATAATATATTTGGGAAAAAAAATATATTTCAATACAAATAAGAGCCCTATTCATAATATATATTTTCGTTAATCGTTACCATATTATAAAATAATTAGAAGAAATAAAGATAATCAATATGTATACTTTAATTTGGAATACCAATCAAAACAAAAAAACCAAACATAACTTTTCCAGGACAATTCCAATAATATTGGCACAAAAACAGGCAGAGTTCAATTATATCCATATAACTCAAATAATCAAATAGATATAAACACGTAATCGTTTATCGAAAATGATTTATTATAGTTCACGAAATAAATTTTGATGTAAGTTCTCTAGCGTTATTATGGTTTTAAGAATGATATTAGTGGTGTTAATAAAGTGGTGTAATTATAAAATAATCATTTTGTATCAATCAAAGAAAATTGAGGACAAAGCATTTTAATTACATTACTATTACTTTAAAAACTTTTAAACATTAATATTTTTTGATGTAATTAATATTTATATTATAAATTAAATAATGAAAGAATATTTAGATGTAATATGTATATTAACAAAGCAAGACATCAAATATGTATAATACTGATAATTGATTTATATTAATTTTTGAATGACTATTTCTGAAAAATCATTTATGTTTTTTAACTGCATAATGAAATTTAGAAGATTCTTAATCAGCATGTGAATAAATGATTAAGTTAAGCCTGCAATTACAAGAAAATACCTATACTGCGATTCGCAACAAATATGCAGCAGTCGTTAGACAAAATACTGGCCACAAACAATACACGTCACCGCTTAATCGGTATTATTTTTTAAATTTATTTATTATTATTAATATAATTAAATTTTTAATAAAATTAATTTTAATAAAATTAAATTTTTTAATCATGCTGACATAGGAAAAAATGTTTCATTTTGGGCACAAATAAAGCTAGAATATTGTTGAAAAAGTTTTTGTTATAAATATAATTTAATTTTAAAAATCAAAAATAAAATTTTTGTATATAAATTTTTTAATAAATGAGTAAAACGTAATACTACCAAAATACATTGCCGTATATGATTATATGATTCCTCCAATTGAAAATTTTACTGTATTATCGATGGAGGTAATATTGAAGAGTATGGGTCCCACTTTTCCTCCCCATTTTTCCCCTTATATTTTTACAAAATGGTCAGATTTTTTCCTTTCTTCCATACAATTTGCCTTTCTAATTTTTTGTCTGCAATCACCATTTTGCCTGCAATCACCATTTTTTAATTGAGAAAGTGAGTCAACTTTAAACATACTTGTTAAATACCAAAAAATAATCCGCCTTTTTACTTGTTTTTTGCATGTACTTTTACTTGTATAGAATTAAATAATCCTTTTGTTTGATTGCAGGCAAAAAATTAGAAAGGCAAATTGGATCGAAGAAAGGAAAAAGTCTGACCATTTTGTGAAAATATAAGGGGAAAATGGGGAGGAAAAAGTGGAGCCCATACTCTTCAATATTACCTCGATGGATATTAACTCATATTTAAATAAACAAAAACGATAAAAAAGCATAAAAATTAGCAAGTTGATATAAAACAACAAAACTATATAAAAATAGCATATAAAAATTTATAAAATTAAACATTATATTTTTAGCAAATTATAAAATAAAACATCATGATGTATTATAATTTGCTTCAATTATATGTGTTACCAAGAAAAGTATTATACCGCAAAGAATATTGAAAGTAAAAAAATAAGTAAATATAATAAAATCAGTTTATTAGATAAAAAAGACCACATTAAATAATATTAAAAAATTTAACTTATTACACTTTTAATAGTTTGCGCTATGTTTATCAATTTCATATTTACTAAACCACTAATTCAAGATGGGAATATAGTTTAAACTGCAAATATTAGTCGATTTAAAAATTATTTATAAATGCTAACAAATTTTTAAACTTTTCTTAATGAAACACATTATCAATCTTTCATCCATACAGCTAAAAAGTCCGTACTATAAATATAAGCAAATTCATAAGAATTTTATTATAAAATACCATAAAAATATAACTATAAATTACATATAAGTTAATATTAAGATAGTTTAAATATATGGATAATTATTATGATTGTAGAAGGGCTACTGTGGCAATATCTCGAGCGAAGCACGGCATGATGGTCATGATTATGTTATAATTAATTAAATAATCCTTTTTAGTTACATTATATTAAATTTAAATAATTATTTAATGAATAGCCACGTAAACTGTCCAAAATTATTTCAAACCAAATTTGATTTTTAAAAAATTTAGTCAATAATTAAACTTTATTTCATTAATTATTTATTTGTTTTAAAATTATAACGATCTGAAGTAAAAATCTAAACACATTTAATTTTATTTTTTGCAATTAAATTTTGACATCGCTTTAATAAAATAAATTATGAATCTAGACTAAGGATTATAATGTGGTTCTACAGCACCACCTATATCATAAGCATTGGATTCAATGTATAGCTAATTAGCCCCAATATGTCATCTGAATAGGAATAATAATTCAAATGGATATACTATGAAAATGCAAAAAATTAAATTTATTTATAGTTATCTATATAATTATAATTTTAGATTAAATTTGCATTTCTTATAATCTTTTATTATAATTGATTTATATTTTAAAAATGATATTAAAATTAATATTAAGCTAATGTACACTAAAATAATATAGTAAAAATAAAAAAAATTAATTAAATAAAATGATGTAAATAGAATAAAAAAACATTTATTTTTTTATAAAAAAACAAAAATTACTTGATATAAAAGATGGATTATAAAAACCATTTTTAATTTTTAAAGTTTATAAATTGCAATTATTACTAATTAATTGAACAAAATTGTGAAATATGCTAGAATTGGCAGAATTAAGTAAGTATGAATGTATTAGATTTAAATTATATTTAAATTATATCCACATGAAAGTATTATTTTGCTTTGCACGCTAAGACACCGATATCGCAGCAAAATATCTCGCATGAGTAGAGACAATTTATTCAAGCATTTACAGCTTACTTTTTTAAACTTTCTCCAATCGATAAAATAACCAAATTACATTTTGTTAATTTGATAACATTTAATGTGTAACTACTAAAAAGGAAAAAGATATTTAGTTCGCTAAAGTTTTGAACTGAAGCAATTCTTTGCCCATTTCGCAATTATTATGAAATTACTACTGCAAACCTATCTAAAACTAAATAATAACAGAACTAGTGAGTTTAAAAAATATCATATGAAATTTTTATATGTGACGAAAGACCCGATTTAGAAAATAGCTATAAAGTAAAAGTAACAAAGATATACATACATTAATATTTATTGAAATGATTCAATCTTTCTACGTGAATAAATTTGTTTTCAAATAAAAATGAAAATATGAAAAAAATAAAAGCAACATTAGTTGTAAAACAAATAATGCAAATGTCTATAATATCTCATTATTTATAAAAAAAATTTGCACCTATTCCTATAGGTATTTCATGAATTATTAATTATTCCATTATTCGACTCAAGAACACTTGTTTATTATATCAGGTTAGAATTATTTAAATAATTTATGTAATAAAAATTCGAGACAACATTGTGCCACGACATGGGGTATTTATATGAAATTATATTTATAAAGCATTTGCTACGACCTGGGAAAAGAACAATTAAAAAATTGAATTTTAGGTTTCTATTGTAAAATATCTAAAAAATTTACTAAAAAGGGAATAAGATGATCTTTATCGTCAAATTATTTACATAATCGGAAAAAAGCATTAATAATTATGCATCAGGAACCATTAATCATATATTGTAACTAATAATAAAATTTTAACAAATATAATGTAGTGAATAAAAAGATAAATAACGACACTGTGATTTTATAATGTAATTTAATCCAGCACCCTTATTGTCAGCTTTATAGCTTGCCTTAACTTTTCCTTTTTTTAGATCGCATTAAGTTATTATTTTCCTGTCTTATTTCCTTCCTTATTTACGGTGTTCGTCCCCTTCCCCATTTCTTCATGTTTGTTCCTATTTATATGCGATGTCCCAATGTTCAAAATATATTTTCGACACGGAGGATCTTTTGGTCACTTTTGGGTCACATTATAATATAAGTTATAAACGATCAAATTAATCATTTGCATTTAAAATTTAGATACGTCAAATAACAATATTAGTTTATGTTGCAACTCGTTTGATGCTTCAAAACATCATAATATATTTCAAAAATTGTATTGTTATTGTTAAATTATATTTGTCAAAAAATTTGTATTAAATAAAAGAATTAAATTAAATTTAAAAATAATATAATATTTTTAATCAATAATAATTTTTTACATTTAAAAAGTTTTGTTTTTATCAAATCTGTGAATTTAATCAAGCAAAACAGCTCCCAACTCTTTATAAAAGCTTTGATACAAAACGTTAAGATGTGTCAATGATGACTATAAAAAATAATGTCTCTAAATAATAAAACTATAAGATAAATATAATAATTATCTTGTAATTTTGAATTAAATAAATTTGAATTAAAAGTATTTTAAAGCATGAATCACGAATCATCAATAATTTTGAAACTATTGAT